TCCGAATTGGACTAGGGGAAAGCCCCCCCTTGCCCTTTCCTACTCCCTCTCTCTTTCCCTCTTTCTTCTCTCCTACTATGGAAAGGAAAAGGGAAATCCTACTAGGACTTGGGAGTCCTAGTAGGACTCCCCACACTTGGCGTGCCCCCTCTAGGGCCGGCCTCCTCCTCCTCCCTCCTTTATATACGTGGGCAGGGGACACCCCAAAGGCACAACAGACAATCTCTTAGCCGTGTGCGGTGCCCCCCCTCCATAGTTACACACCTCGGTCATATCGTTGCAGTGCTTAGGCGAAGCCCTGCGCTGGTAGCTTCATCATCACCTTCACCACGCCGTCGTGCTGACGAAACTCTCCTCCAACCTCAACTGGATCTAGAGTTCATGGGACGTCATCGAGCTGAATGTGTGCAGATCGCGGAGGTTCCATATCTTTGGTGATAGGATCGGTCGGGTCGTGAAGACGTACGACTACATCAACCGCGTTGTCATAACGCTTTCGCTTACGGTCTACGAGGGTACGTGGACAACACTCTTCCCTCTTGTTGCTATGCATCACCTAGATGGATCTTGCATGTGCGTAGGAAATTTTTGAAATTACTGTGTTCTCCAACATCTAGGGCATATCTCAAACACTGTCAACCATACAACTCATCCAACATTCTTGTTGGCGATGGTACCTCGCTTGCAGTGACACACTCTGGCCGCGCCCACATTCCCACTGCCACCACTCCCCTTTCTCTGACCAACGTTCTAGTCTCTCCATACCTCATCAAAAATCTCATCTCCATAAAGAAACTAGCTCGTGATAATCCTGTTAATGTAGAGTTTGATGATTTTGGTTTCTTTGTCAAGGATCAAAGGACGAAGCAGGTGATCCTCCAATGTAACTCTGCCGACGATGAACTCTACCCCATGTCTGTGCCACCCCCTCACCATGCGCTTGCTGCGGTCACCACAGACACCTGGCATCGACGCCTTGGGCACCCCAGCCACGACACCTTCTCTAGCGTGCTCCGTTCATCCTCCATCGCCGCTCACGATACTCTGTCACCTTTCTGCCAAGCGTGTCAACTAGGAAATCATGTTAGGTTTCCTTTCAGTAGCTCGGATCATGTGTCATATTTCCCTTTTCAACTTGTGCATTGTGATGTATGGACCTCTCATGTAATCAGTGTATCGGGATGTCAATACTACCTTGTGCTTTTAAATGATTACAGTCACTTAGCGTGGACATTTCCTCTATGACACAAATCTGAAGTGCTTGCCACTATTAAACACTTTCATGCATTCATCCGCTGCCGGTTCAACCTCAACCCGCTCACCATCCAGAGTGATAATGGTCATGAATTCGACAATGACCCCGCTGGTGCCTTCTTCGCCTCGGAGGGCATCCAACTGCGTATGTCCTGCCCCTACCTCACCTCAAAACGGCCGGGCCAAGAGCATACTCCGCACCCTAAACAACATTACATGCTCTCTTCTCACTCATGCATCCATGCCGTACACATTCTGGGTCGAAGCCCTTATCATAGCCACCTTCCTACTCAATCGCCGCCTGTATAGTGCTCGCCATAGCCAAACACCCTTCTATCTACTCTACGGCGTCCAACTTGAGTACTCCACCCTATGCGTGTTCGGCTGTCTATGCTACCCCAACCTCACCGCCACCAGTGCTCACAAACTTGCTCTGTGATCCCATCCATGTGTTTTTCTTGGATACTCGCTGGACCACAAATGATACCTCTGTCTCAACCGTGACACTGGCTGGGTGATCATCTCTCGGCATGTGGTGTTTGATGAGCACACCTTTCCCTTTGCGCCACACCACGGCGATGACCATCCCCCGCCGGTAGATGAATACCACCCCACACCGTTCCACCCTCACGTCCCACGTCGGGCACGGACTTCCCATCCTAGCGCTGCTGCTACTGCTACCCCTACCGCATCGACCACCCAGCCTGTTGCGGCCGCTACCCCACCCGCTTCAGCTTTCCCCGATTCCGCTGTCGTGGCAGCAAACTCACCGCCCAAACCGGCTACCATGGCAGCCGG